ACTTACGATATGACACTCCGTCCTTCCTCTGTTCCTCAGCGTGTTGTCCTACCGTTACCTCCTGCGTCCTCTTTGCCTGACGTTGCTGACCCTCTGTCTGACCTTGCTCGTGCGTCCAGTCCAACTGTTACTCGCCTTCTTGCTACGGTTGTGACGGACCCTACGTTCTCGTCTCCTGTTGTGTCTGCCCTAGTAGCTGAGCTCGTTGACTTTGCTGCTGTGTACCGCCTTGACTACCTTGCGAGTCTTGTCTCTAACCCTGTCCCTGCCTGTCCTCCGTTCGTCGGGGGTGAGACTGCTCTTGGCTACACTGCCCTTGGGTGTGACGTTCTTGAGCACAGACAGGAGGAGATGGAGTGCCTTGCTGCCGCTTCACCCCATCACGCGACCATGCTGCTTGCCCCTGAGGGAGACCCGGATGCACTTGACATCCCCACCCCGCGCTCTTACAGGGAGGCGATTTCGGGTGAGTACTCCTCTCAGTGGCAGACAGCCATGGACGTAGAGATGGCTTCCTGGAAGTCCACAGGCACCTACGCCGACGAGGTTCCCCCACCTGGGGCGAACACCGTCAGTGGCATGTGGATTTTCAGGGTGAAGCGGTCGCCGGGTTCTCCGCCTGTCTTCAAGGCACGTTACGTTGCTCGAGGCTTCAGTCAGCGTGAGGGGGTCGACTTCTTTCAGACCTTCTCCCCCACCCCGAAGATGACCACTTTTCGGGTGTTGCTACACGTTGCAGCTCAGCGTGACTACGAACTGCACTCCCTCGACTTCTCGACAGCTTTCTTGTAGGGTAGCCTTCACGAGGCCATCTGGTTGCGCCGTCCACTGGGCTTCACTGGGTCGTTTCCTGAGGGTACCCAGTGGAGCCTACGGCGACCAGTGTACGGCCTGGTTTAACACTGGAATGCATCCAAGCTGTGGATAATATGCTCGATTCACTATCAATTTTGGGCATCAATTGTGGATGTGCCATCAAAGCCACACATTTAGAAAGCTTGCTTTCTTGTGTTTGCAATGGCAACGAGCTTCGTTTCAAATGGGCATTACAACATTCTCGTCCTACTTAGATATGGTACCTACATTACAAGTTACAACATGCAATTTTTGCTAGGGTGGGTGGGTGGGAAATAAGACACTTGAAATTTCAAACGAAGACGTGGGTGGAGGCCAAATGGCCTCCACCCCCTGCTATATAGTTGGCGAAGAGCGTAGAGCACTTCGCCGTTGCCATTGCTGCATTACAAGCAGCTTCGCTTTCGAAATATACATTTTTAGAAAGTGTTACACACTTTCAAAAAACTTCATATTTAGAAAGCTTGCTTTCTCGTGTTCGCAATGGCAACGAGCTTCGTTTCAAATGGGTCTTCTGAGACATGAGAAGAGGTCATGCTAACGAGATGGTAAAGGTTGTTTGTGGCTTATGCGATGACATGTCGGTGGAGGTCCAATCACGCACGAAGGAGAGGCTGGCACCGATGTTGATGGTGATGCTGTATTCTCTGCTGTTGCCTTGGATGAAGTGTTGCCCCGAGTGTAGCACAGTAATGTTGATTTATGAGAGTCGGCTGACATGTGAGCTTCGGTCACAAACTCCCAAGCAGTATAAGAGGACTCGGGTAACGGGCATTGGTGTTTTGTGTGATGATGGATGTGATGCTTGTAGGAGCCCAACCCTTGTAGCAATCACAACCGTGCTCACATTACGAAGAGTGCATGCATCTGTATCCGGATACGGTAAATCTGCCGGCGTTTGAGCCCTTTGTATGTGTGTGCATTTGTTTTTTTTTTTTTTTTTTTTTTTATCTGCTAGACTTGAGCACCATTTCAAACTCACCACAACATTGTTCAATCAACCAACTCAAGTGTGACCCCATCCGGACCTTGCAATTGAAGGCTTTCAAAGCCTAAGGTGTGTGAGAAGTGTAACTAAATTGCACAACCATGAATCTACCCTACAAATGGCCCACAGGCCAGAAAGGGACCCACCGGTCCTCCTCCCCCCTGGGGAGCTCGCTGGCCAGCACCACACAGGGCCCACCGGTCCTCCTCCCCCCTAGGGAGCTCGCTGGCCAGCACCGCACAGGACCCACCGGTCCTCCTCCCCCCCTGGGGAGCTCGCTGGCCAGCACCGCACAGGACCCACCGGTCCTCCTCCCCCCTGGGGAGCTCGCTGGCCAGCACCGCACAGGACCCACCGGTCCTCCTTCCCCCTGGGGAGCTCGCTGGCCAGCACCGCACGGGAGCGCATGGGGTTGTGCCAATTGTTTGCCGCAGTCTTTCTTCGCCGATGGTCTCTCATGGCGACCCAAAGCTATGGTAGTTGCCTTGCACCGATTTACTGGGATCAGAGGTAATAAATAACACGAGAGAAAAACGAAGACAAACAAAAATCGAAGATACGTACGAAGAAACGGTGGAAACATATGCAAGGTAATAAGTTATCCGCTGACAATGTCAGCAGCAGAAGAGCATATGTCATGCCAGTTTGTCTCTGGAGATTTCGCCAGCCTGCTGGTGCCGACTGCCGCTGGACGAGCCCCTGGTTATTGCACGCCATTGGCGATGTCGTAGGCACGTGCGCCAGTGGCGATTTTGACCATTTCGGCGCCATGAGCGCCACTGGCGCCACTTGCGCCGCTGGCAATTTTTACGCCACGTGCGCCACTGGCGATTTCGCCACGCGCGCCTGTGGCGTTTTCGTCGCCACGCGCGCCTGTGGCGTTTTCGTCGCCACACGCGCTTGTGGCGATTTCGTCGCCACGAGCGCCTGTGGCGATTGCTTCGCCACGCGCGCCTGTGGCGGTTTCGTCGCCACGCGCGCCTGTGGCGATTTCGTCGCCACGCGCGCTTGTGGCGATTTCGTCGCCACGTGCGCCAGTGGCGCTGTAGCTTTATTAGCCCCAACAAGCGCGCCTATTGTGCGGACGGGTGCGCCCGCAAGTCATTTCTGAAACACGTTGTGCCATGTCAATTGAGTTGATGCCTACTATTTTATGAGAGAATTGAGAAACTGAGGAAAACGGGAAGCGCCAAGTCGTCGGACGAGAATGACATTTGAAATTTCAAACGAAGACGGGGGTGGAGGCCAAATGGCCTCCACCCCCTGCTATATAGTTGGCGAAGAGCGTAGAGCACTTCGCCGTTGCCATTGCTGCATTACAAGCAGCTTCGCTTTCGAAATATACATTTTTAGAAAGTGTTACACACTTTCAAATAACTTCATTGTGTGTGCCAGGCACATCCCATTACCGTGAATTGATCATCTTGTATCTGTTGTATAGCAGTGCTTGTGGTGGCTGGACTCACCACCAGCTTGCCACAAGCAACCTTGCATTCATTGCATTCATGCAAAGGGGCAAAAGCCACTGTGATGCTTTCTGGCGGCTCGAGCTGAGACATACATTCAGTTTCTCCAACTTCACCTCATTCTCCATCCCGTACAATGCGTCCCTCTCCTGCTGCGTATGCTCCCTACCCGACCAGAGGAACCCTCACGTGCTCCATGGTTTCAGCATCTTGCTGATGATGTGGACAGTGACGGTCTTGGTTGAGTACACGTCACCTGCCAGCACTACGGCCTGGTCATTTGCCTGCCCCTCCACAATCACCAAAGGCACAAACTTTTTTGTTACTCTCGTTAAGGAGCGCCCTGATATAGTGCTCAACGTCTTTCCGTTCTTAAAACCATTCATCACGCTGTAGGTGAACCGGCCTTTCACTATATGATAGGCCATGAGGGGCAAGAGCTGCTGCGAGGGGTACTTCTTGATGGTCGTGCAGTAGTCTAGCGCCTCTAGTGGGACCAGCAGCGTGTAGGGCGCGTTGACTGTGGCATTGGCTGTGTTGACCGTGTTGACTGCAGCAACGACGGAGGGAGGAGGGAAGGCAAACGGGTCACAGCGAATGAACAAGCTGGGGCCCGGCTCAGAAAGGCATAACGACGTGCGGCTTGTGTTGGAAGCGAATGCTGATGGCGGGGGAGCGAGGAACGATGCACAAGGGGATATTTTACAGGGCGACGGAAGGGGTGGACAGAATGGACAGATGGAGGCCGCATCAACAAACCATTGAACGGAACAGAAAGAAACAGAGGAGGGGGGAAATGAAAGTGGAAGAAGAAATTACTCAGCATTTGCAGATATGGCGCGGCCTGGCTGTACTTCGATAGGAGCAGCGCTTTGACGGCGCTCGCAGCGACTGACGAGGATATCACCGGCGAGCCGCCGCCTCCGCTACCCGGGGCTGGTTTTCTGGCAGCAACGGTTGTCGCCTGCGATACTAGCGACAAAGAAAAGACTGCTAGGAGCAAGGAGAGCAGTAGCGGAACGGAGCGACACGTGGAGGGGATGGCCATGACGGATATCGGAATGATTGGACAACGGGAGCCAAGTACAAGGAGATAGTAATACGCACCCTATCAAGGGAGGTAATATTACCCTTGACTAGCGAACCTCGCGTGGCGGACCTACTTTACTACGGTTTACCTACGCAATGATCGTAGTACTCTGTATGAATCTACGAATGGGAACTCCGTGGTAGAGTTGGTGCAAAGGCGAGAGTTGGCAGCGAAGGAACACTCGAAACGGAGATCTGCTTGATTCCATGGTCCTCCTTTTTCCTTCCCAGCTGCACTCGTTGGTGGCGGTCGCACCTGGCGCTGCGTCGCTCCCGCTCCCACAGGCTGGTTGGTGCGCCCACCATGTATTTCCGTAGCTGGCGGTGAAGCATTTTGCTCATCACCACCTGTTGTCGGCGCAGGGCTGGTCGGGATGCGTTGGGATTCGCCAGGCTGGAAACCCCTGATTCTTGCTCGCAAACCGGTGACATGGCTTGTTGATTGGGTAATCAACGGTTGAGAAAAGTAAGTGTTTTTGAGATGACTATATTCATTTCCCAGCCTTTAAGACACATTGTGAGAAGTCCAACAACTGGATGAGTAGAATGCAGTATTAATCCCATTCGCACACGCCCCAATGCTTCATGCCAACCCCAATGCTTCATGCCAACCCCCATGTGAGTATTAATCCAGACACAATGTGAACGGTGAAGAAAGGTGTAGTGTAGACATCAAACAGCAGGACCTGAACAGGCAGCACCCGCTCCCACAACTTCCCCGGCTTCTTCTTCCTCTGGAATATTCCGCCCAGCCTCTTCCACAGGGGAGGATAGCCAGAGAGAAGGGCCGAGTCCGGCAGCAACGGCCCATTGACCTTACGAATCGAGTGGTGGCGAAAGAAGGTGCGCATTCTGGCGCCGCGAGGCAAAGCTGTCAACCTCTCCTGCGTGTAGAGCCCTTTGACGATGTGGAACGCGAGGAGGCGGAGGAGTGAACGCGCCTTGAACCCCTTGAGGGAGCGGCAGAGCTGGTTGGGGTTGACAGGCACTAGAAGCGTCACAGGGGTCACTGAGAGGTTGAAACCCGACGAGTTCGCGCTCGCCTCCGACATGGTGCTGACTGGATCGGACACATCAGGGGACGAAAGGTGGGGGGGAGGAATCAAGCTAGGGGTTGAATTAATATGTAACCCACAGCCAGAAACACCATCGCGGATGAAGAACGCAAGGGTTTTTCGTTTTTGTTAAAAAGCATGCGGTGGCTAGCTTTTGACTGTACTGGTATTGCTTGAGGGACGAGCGCTGGGACTGACGTATTGCTTGCAGCATGGGAACTGACGAGCTGTACTGGGGGAGGCTCAATAGCGCGCGCATCGCTTCCCCCGCATGCCGGCCAAAATCCCATGCGTTGGCTGCAATCGGCGGAAGCGTCACGATCATGGAGGCCAGGAAGAGAAGTAGCGCGGGACCGAGTCGGCAAGAAGCCATCGTTGACTCGTCAAAGATGGTAGTACCGCGAGAACGAGTAGATAATAAAAAAAAGTACACGCATAGCGCACACAAGAAGTCGCTCGTATGAACCAAGATTTACAGCTGCTGTGAACAGCGCCACTGTCCATGGCGAGTTCTCGCTGCGCTTTTGGACAAGCTTGTGAAGAAGCGAGGATCTGGCAAAGAAGACTCAGCCTAAGACGCAGCGCGCGGCGACACAACAAAATGACGATTTGTGCAGGAAGAAACTGCTGAAGTTCAGCAGCAGCGACGGTGGGCGTGGATTGCCTGTTCCCACCGTCCACTGCTTGATTGGTTGTGAAATGACGAGCTTCAACGCTCTGCGATATGAGGATCGAAATGTTGCGAACACGAGCTTTCGGTTTGATTTGTTGCCAATACCGTAACTGAACTAGTTATGAAAGAATGAAATATGAGCCAGGTCAGGGTGTATGTAGATTTACGGTAGTATCAATCTTGCCCGAACCAGACTTTCTTCTTCGAGCCAACACTAAGAGAGGATCCCTCAACCACAAGCCTCTGGGACTTCGCGTTATTGTGACCATGATCCTGCACTGGACCCGGGACAGAGGCGCTCGTAGGGAAGCGCCGTCTCGCATTAATTGGAGAAGAGGGAGAAAGGATTGCTGGGTTAGGCACCGACTGTACTGAGTGCAGTGAGCTTTGGTGCCTGTGACCAGGCAACCGGGAAGCCGAGGGTGCTCTATTGACCGAAGTCGTGTTGGAGCCATGGTTTCTGGAAGGGGAAGCTCCACCATCAGGTGACCCGCCACCATTCTTGCCTGTGCTGGCCGGGCTGCCAGCAGCCGCTGCCATGCACTTGACCCTCATGCGCAGCCCCTCGGTCTGCCTGAGCTCCGCCTCCCTCTGTGCGCTGAGCCCCTCCAGCATCGCCCACAGCTCCTGGTTCTCCCTCTCCACTGCTGCCACCCGCCCCACCACTGCCGCATGCTCCTCTATTGTCACGCTCGTGTTAGTCACATCCGCCCCAGGCGTGGCGGCTCTGGGCGTGGGGGCCATCCAGGTGTGCAGGGCGGCCTCCATCTCCTGCGCCAGGGCGTCCCGCTCCCCCTGCGCCACCTTCAGCGCCTCCTCCGCGCGCTGCACCTCCCCCGACCGCACCTGCAGCATCTCCCTCAGCTGCGCGTTGGTGTGAGTCAGCTCTTCCACCTGCCGCGTCAGCCCGTCCACCTGCCGCGTCAGCATCTCCTGCGCTTTGCAGCAGTCGCCGTGTGCACTATGCTCCCTTACGTCACCTCCCCGCACCTCCTTCAAACCTGTCCGTCTCTGTTCCCCTGCGTTACCCCTCGGGCTCCCCGCACCGCCCTCTCTCGGCGTCGTGCTCTTGTCGTTTTCTGCCATCAGCCTATCGCACACCGCCCAGACCCCCGCCTCCTTCCCCTTCCTTCCGCGCTCGTCTCCTACTGTCTGCCGCCCGAGCCCGCTGCTCAGTCTCCTGCCGCCGCTGCCGCACCTCCCCGCGGCCGTCAAGGGGCGCTCCGGCCTGTCAGAAAGCGATTTTTCAAGCACGTTGCGCCTCAGATCGCCCACTCTGCCCGCTTCTCCCTGCGCCGCGCGCGCTCCCGTGGAATGCTCAGCGCGTTCCGACCCTGCGTGCCGCCGCAAGTCCAGCGGACTGATCAGCCCCGGAGAGGTGCTTTCAGCGCCGCGCCTGCAGCCGTCGACGCGGCCGCTCGAGCGAGGCCGCTCAGATTGGGCCGAGAACGACCTTCCTGGCAGCTTCCTACGCGAGACTTGTTCTGCGGGAAATCCAGAGCTGGAAACTCCAGACGGCGTGCCGCAACGGGGAGATTCCAACAACTGCGCCGGCGACTCCGATCGAGCGCGCTGCATTGCGGAAGGCGAGTCGGATCTGCCAGTGTTTCGCGAATTCAGAGAATTGACTGCATCGGCCTGTCTCCGCGAGGCGGAATTATTCATCCGAAGCTCTGCGGGGTCCGAAGTGTCCAGGAAATTGACTCGAGCAGCCGGGGAGCGCGCCGTGTGAGCAAAACGCGGGGAAGGGGAAGAGGACAGGCCTTCCCACGAGATTGATTGCGGCACGGGCCCCGCTGGCCGCCCCGTATTGTTCGACCTCGTGCCCGTCCTCCTCCCGCCAGCCGCCGCGCTGTGCGGACGCGGCTCGTCCACGACAGTTCCACCTGTGAGGAGCCGCACTGCCAAATGCCGCGCCGCTCCCGACGCCATGATCGCGTCCACAGCGTTGCTGCTGGCTCCCGATGATATACGCGATAAAAGCTCGTCGATTTCATACTGCGTGAATTGCTGACGGGGGTCGGCGGCTACTCTGACAGACGCCATGCTGTGATTGATTGCTACTGGTGGTCGCTGGATAATTCCGTATCGTGTGTCGATTCTATTTCAGTGTGAGCACATGTACGAAAAACTCTCTGCGCCGGCCCATGAACCTATTGCACATAGGATTCTAAGGTTGACCTGCGAGGCGGTTGAGGAGTGAGAGGCATTCCTTTGCAGAATGTTGGGTGTTGAGTTTGAGGGAACTGAAGGTCTTGCGATGGGAAGACAACTGACGGGATGAGTGGAGCAGAGTGGAGTGCCGCCGAACACATTTGTACAAATGTGCCCGAGCTTACTTACTGTGCTGCAAACACACCCCTCGATTGTTCTGTTCGGCTTGGCTGGCTCCCGAGAGTCAACCTCCCGAGCGCCCCTTCCTTTCCTTCCCTTCCTTTCCCCCGGAGAGTCAACCAACCGAATCCTGGTTCTGGACGGTGGAAAACTTTCCGAACACTACACCCTGTTTCTCGACGTTTGAACAATCGGGAGCCCCGGCTACAGTGCGCACGTGTGCTTGGATTCAGCGGGCTGTTGTTTGCAACCGAAATGCACTTCAGGAGAACGGTAGACAACGGTTTATGAAAAAAACGTGCTTTTGAGTTCGGTTTCGTGCGACAAAAGTGCTTATACGGTATGTTCTGGGACCAATTTGGAGGCATTGATGTCAGTACAACCGGTTTGTCAATATGGCGAATGTCAGTGTGTCTCGAAACAGGGTGTATTGCGTTTCCATTCTCGGTCATTGTGGCGGATAGGTTGGGAAGAAACCACCGAGTACTCGTAAAGCAAGCACTGTACCGTTTAAAGGGTCTTGAGGATGTAGAAAACAAAACATAACCCAGCCAGCCACTGGGTGCTTCGGGAACAAAAAAACGGGATCTCCGTAACACGACCCTCGCTGGCAGGCCCATTGCCCAGACTGGTAATGGCAGTTGGAAACGAACAGATGCGCTCACAACGAATGGTCAGGGGCGTGTGCGAGGTGTGGCCCCTCCAGCCAGAACCAGCTGGCAGATCACTAAACGACAGATAGCGTGTTGTGTTCCATCCCAAACCGCTGAAGGAAGTCGCCCCACACAAGACCATTCAAAAGCTGTCAAAAACTCTGTAGAGGCGCAAAGGCTGGTTGGGTTGCCCCCGAAGGATGTGGGTTCGGGTATGGCCCCTCATGCTAGCCCAGCCTGTCAGCCTCCACGAGAGCTGCTCCATGTGCCACACCGATGGGTACAATCCCCTTGTTCACCCTGCGAGGGTGTGTACAATTGTGGAACTGACCAACAAAAGGGGGCACTCGTTCATCAACGTCAACAACTGTCAAAAGATTAGTTTAGTTGTTCCTTCGTAATGACAGCTCCGATAGAAGACAGCTGTCTGGCAGCTCACGAAAGGAAGAGAACCGAAACAGTTTATTGTGGAAAATCTGCTTGTTCGAAATATATCAAATATATATTAGAATATGTACAAATCACACGCAAATCCACACACAATCACACTAGAAACACACACACAACAGGATATGGATGTCAACTTACCCCCCCCCATTGGCTCCTTCCCTACCTCTCCCTCTCCTCTCTTTCCGCACTCCCTCCTCCCCAATCCCTCCTCTCTCCCTGCCACTTGCTCCTCTCCCTTTCCCCACCTGCATCTACCTTCTGCCTAACTGATTCATTTTATCTACACGCCTGTATCCGCTTGCCCTTTTTACCTGTGCTTTCTTCTCCCAAAGTGCACACCATTGGAACTACGACCCCCTTGCTTAAACAGCTGCACCCACCTGCTGCCTGTGGTGCTGATGCCACCATGCCGCCCACACCTTCACTGCCGCAACCAGCAACAGCACCGTCGCTGCTGGAAGGTTCCACAGCAGCCTGCTCTGACCCACACCACTGCTGCCGCCCGGCACACGTCCCACCAGACCTGCGAATGAGGCCAGGAACTGAACCAGGCCTGCCAGCACAACACCTGTGATGGTGGTGACAGCAATAGAGGCAGCTGCGGAGGGAGGGGCATGCTGGGCTGGCAGGGCTGCTGCTGCAGACACTGGTACGGGTGGTGGAGGTGTGGGTCGACCACCTTGGAATGGTGCCGTTGGGGCCACCACAGGAGGTGCACTGGAAGGCGAGGAAGAGGGGGCGGAAGGCAGGAGAGGCTTGCTCAGCCCAAGCACGTGCAGCAGGGAGGGAAGCGAGCCGTGGTGGAGGGCGGAGGCTGGCAGGTCGATGACTTGGTTGATTGCGGCGACAGTGTGGTGCGCTGAGATGGCCACCCACTTTGCCATGTGGTCCACTCTGATTGGAGGGTGGAGAAACAGGGGAGAGGGGGAGATATCAATTGCGAGACAACATGGGCATGAGTGTGGAGAAACGGACGAAACACTTCAGGAGATATAACTGAGCAACGAGGAGCCAGGTGCACGAAAGGTGTGGCGAACAGGGCAGAGGGGTGGACGGTGGTGGGGGCAGAGGGCAGATGGGGCAGTCAGGCCTGTGGCTGGTGGAGCGATGCACAGCCCCATGCGCCAACTGTCACGGGGTGGGGCGGAGCTGCAGCACTCACGGGGTGAGGCGGAGCGGCAGCCCCACGATCTCCTCAATGAGTGCGTCGGGCACCTCGCGGCTGAACTCGCTTGTGCACGCCGTCACGAACGCCACCACCCCCGCGTCCGCCCGCACCTCCGCCGCGCCTCCTCCTGGCGGCGTCTCCCCGCCCCCCCTGGGCGCCCCAATGCTGTCCCGCTCAGCCCGTGGTGCTGCGGGGGCAGGGCTGAGGGCGTGCGCGGTGGGCGCGAGGGGGTCGGGCAGAGGGGCGAAGCGCAGGATGACGCTGCCGTCGCGCTGCACTGGCGGGGAAAAAGAGGGGGAAAGAGGGGGGAAGAGGGGGGCGAGGAGCGCGCGAGGGTGGGGTGGGGGAGGCTTGGGTAGAGAAGTGGGGGGACACGAGGCAGAGAGGGGCGTATGGGTGTGGCACGGGGCGCGAAGGCATTGACGACTGTGATAGGCATCCCTTGTCTGCTTGACGGAAACCACACGCCATTGCGACCATTGCTGGCGTTACGCTCCCGAGTCGCTTTCCCCATTCTCGCGCCTCTCACCCCATCCCCGCGCCTCTCGCCCCCATTCTCGCGCTCCTCACCGCCATCTCCGCGCCGCTCACCGTCAGCAGCATGCAGAACTACGGGGCCCGTTGTCCTCTTCCTCCGCATCGTCGTCGTCGTCGTCATCATCGAAGTCGCAGTTGTCGCCTTCGTCACCGTGCGACCAGCGCTCTCCGCTCGCTCCCCAACCGCTGATGCGACCACCCCCCGCGATGCAGCTCCGTCCTCCCCTTTCGCCGCACTTTCTGCGAGCAACACGACTTCTTTGTCTTTCTCGATGCCACGTGGCAGAACTGTGGGGATTGCAACGGTTGGAAGAGCCGCGCTGGCCGCAGATTGCGCCTCCACGGTCGCGGCGGCGCCTGCAGCAACGGTGGCGTGAACGCGGCCAGCGGAAGCGGAAGGACTAGAGGGAGGCGGGGAAGCAGAGCGAATGGCGGCTCGCGCGATGACTACTTTACGTGTGCGCGCTGCGAGCAGTCGAGCGTGCCGCCTAGCGCGGCAGCTGCGCTGCTGGTGGCAGCCGCACCGCGAGGAGCTGCTGACACCGCGCTCGCCAATTCCGCCCCCAAAGCCGTACGGAAAAGGCACCACGCTGCCTGGAGATAAATAGGAGGCTGCAGCTGCGGCAGGTGCGTCGTGAATCCGCATCACTGCCGTGAGGTCGGCGAGAGCGGAGGGCGCGCGGGGCGCGAGTAGACGCGATGCGGGCATGGTGGGCTGAGGAAGTAAACGAAAATAGGACGAACTCTGGAAACGACGCGTGCGCAAATGCCAGTAGAGTTTGGTAACTACCGCTGTACAACAACTAGGATGGAGTTCTAGAATCTACGGTTGAGCTCATTAGCTACTACATGCAGTGGAACAAGCATTTACAGCTAGACAGGAAAAGAGAGGAAAAGGATCTCGATGGCGGAGAGAACAATCACCAGGCAACTGGTGCGGAGGGACAAACGAATGTAGAAGTGTTCGAGGCAAGAGCGGTGAAGTCAGCTTCTAAGGGATATAGAAAGACGCCGCACGGCGTGGTGGGGTTCGGCTTGGTGAGACAGAGGGGTGCTGGATGGATAGCGTTGCGGGCGAATGAACATGGGCTGTTTCGCTCCCCACCAACGAATGGCCCTGATTGGTTCGGTTTGGATGTCGTCGCGCTCTTGGGGCTGGTACGCGTCGCTAAATCGCCCTCGCTGTTAGGGTCGCACGTGCGAGTTGTGACTGCGATTCGACGCGAAATCCAGGGATGCAAAACTTGAGGGTCCATGTTCATGATTCGTCGTCGTCAGTGGTGATAATGAAGTCGGGCGAAACAACGCGTTACACAAGGGCAATGCACAAATAAAATGAAATGAAGCACTTATCACACAAGCAACAATGCGGCAAACCAACAAACCAAGAAACACGCAGCTCTTCATTTTGTACCGATCCAACTAACTCCAAAAGCTTTTACTGCAACAGCATGCGCAGTGAATGATTGGGTGTGAGGTATTTATGTGGCAATGGTTCATAAGTGGATGGTGATGTGTCATTTGTCTTGAGCCACTCCTCTATGCTTTTGCGCTCGTAGGTGAAGCCATCTGCTGCTACTACTGGGTCAGTCATTCTCATCTGGAGAGGGGGAGAAGGAAACAGGGGAGAAGGAAACGGGGGCGAGGGAGAGTGCGCGAGGGATCTTGAAAAAATGGGAGCGGGGCCAGAGAACGAGGAAAGAGGGGAAGAGAGAGGGGCAAAAAAGGGACACGAGCACAGGTGGAAAGTGGCAGGGTTGACAGCATCACATACATGTGAGAGCGGGCACACAAACTGGTCCTCAATGCTCTGCTGCCGCTGCCTCTCCCCAGCCTCCATCTGCTCCACCAGCCCATGCAGCGCCGGCTGCAGCTCCCCCGCCAGATCCGGGCGGCACGCCCGCTGCCGGGCGGCACACCGCAGGCCCCACTCTGCCAGCTGGCAAGCAACGGACAGCGGCCACTCGCCGCCCGAGACGTCCAGGTGATCTGACACCAGCGCTGCCACGGCCTGCACCATGGGGCTGCCGCTGCTGCTGCTGCCGCCGACAGCACCCCCCTGCTCCCAGTAGCAGTCGAGGGCGTCCTGGAAGGGCTTGATGCGCTTGTGCAGGCTCTTGATGCCCGGCTCCCCCGTGAGCAGCTGCAGCATGATGAGCCCGAGGGCATACACATCGGACAGCACGCTGATCTCAAAGGTGAGCACCTCCTCGGGGTCGATGTACCCCACGGTGCCGCGCACACGCGTGGTGGTGGCGTCGTCCTCCGCGATCAGCCGCGCCAGCCCCACGTCCGCCAGCTTGCACCCGCGGTTGGCGTCCAGCAGCACGTTGTCGGGCTTTAAGTCGCGGTGGGCGATGGGCGGGTCGTGGTGGTGCAGGAACAGCAGCGCCGACGCCACCTCCGACGCCACCCGCACCCGCTCCACCACAGACAAAGGCCGCCGCCCGGCGGTGGGCTTGAGGTGGTCCTGCAGGGAGCCACCTGGCAGATACTCGTAGACGAGACACATGGCGTCGGGGCAGTGGCCCATGAGCAGCACGATGTGTGGGTGGCGCATGCGGCTCAGCACCTCCACCTCCGTCATGTACTCGTCCGGGCCCTGCCAGCTGCTGCCCTCCAGCCGCTTCACTGCCACCTCACACCCCATCACCCGGCCCCGATACACCTGACAGGGGGGAGAGAAAAAACGGCGCAGGGGAGGCAATGAGGCATGTTACTCATCCGCCTCAAATCACACGTAAAATTGTTGTGTTACTGCTAGCTCTTTCACCATCCTTTAAAACACTCTTCCTAAACACCATTTAAGTATTATATCCCTGAGCTCACCGTGCCGAAGGCACCCTTGCCGAGTTGATTCGCCGGGCTCCAGTTGTCCGTTGCCCTCGCCAGCTGCTCTTGCGTAAAAAGACGACAATCGCCGCCTGCTCCCGCCCCCCCAGCGCCCATCACACTACCTGCATCACTCTCTGCCACCACGGATCCCCCCCACACCCCACTGCTGCCAGGAGGAAAGCCAGTTGTTGGGTGGCGAGAGCGGAATGGGAGGGAGAGGGAGGTGGAGGAGTAGATGGAGAAGTCGGCACTCAAGTAAGCACCAGAATCTGCAGTGACGTTGGTGGAGTGTTTAGGGTGGTATTTGAACTGGTTGCTTTGAGGGTATTCGCATGACGGGTTGAATGGTAGGTTCTGAAAGTGGTTGCATATATGGGGGAAAAAGGGGGAGGGAGAGGGTGGGTGTGGGGGGGGGAGAAAGGGGGAGGGAAAAAAGATATGGCCAATGAGGCCATGCGGCACGACAATGGGGCGTACTGTGCAACGTACCAGTGTTGGGGTAGTGCGGCGTGGTTGGTGCTATGAACAAACTTTACAGTTCAATTGTTCTTGGTTGTGCATAAAAATGAAACATGCCACTGTAATTTCCGTAGTGCTTTCCAAATCCTGTAATGTGCTATACCCTAAAGCCTGATTAAGTGTAGTTCGTTCCTGTATTGCGCACATCTCCTGTGCTGTGTAGCACGATTCGTATCGAGAGGTATAGCGACGCGCGACACTATCAGAATCGCTGCATCTCCTGTCTCATTATCCGTTTCTCCGTTTGATACCCGCTTCCCCATCCAACCCCTTTCCCCCCTTTCCTACGGTTTCCAATCCCCACTTTCCGCCACCCCTCTCACACGCGCACCCAGCTTTCGTCGGAGTTGGGTTGCTGGGAGCTCCGCAGAGGCGCTTCGTCGTGCGCGCCATCGCCGCCCCCGTCGAGCGCCGCGAGCTCCTCCTTCAGCGACAGCGCGCTCTGATGGCTCCCGCCGCCGCTTCGCCCTTCCGCCTCCCTCTCGCCCGGGTAGTACTCGCCCCCGCTCCGCCAGCTTCCCTCGCTACCTATGCCATCCGCGCACACGGCTCCGCGCATTGCCCCGGGCTTCTCGCCGTACATTTCGCGGTTCCTCTGCTCGTCGTACGACCGCGATGTGAACACGCCTTGTCCTGTCCGCATGCTGCCCACGCCTGCCATTTCGCGGAGTTCGCCGGCCGCATTCGCGTCCCTCATCGCCCCCATGCCCATGCGCGCAGTACCCCCGTCCAAGCTCCGCCTTCCCCTACCCGGGTCGCTGCCGAACTGATGGCCCGGCCATTCTGCCCCGCTGCCCCCTCCGCCCGCTGCATACACATGCGGGGTCCCGCCCATGCGGCCTGCGCCAACGCCTCCGTATTGCGGAGGGGAAACGCGACACGCGCCGTCGAAGCGCTGCGGGCTGGAAGTATAAGCCCCGAAGTCGCCGCGGCCGCCGTAGCCGTCGAAACACGGCGCGGCTGCGGCAGTCGGGGGATACTCGGCGCCGGGGAACGCGGGGTCGAGGCGGCGGAGATGCGGAGGTGCCTGCAGAAGGGGGAGCGGAATAGGGGGTGCGGAGAAAGGATGTGGGGAGGGAAGCGGAAAATGTGGAGGGGGAGCAGCAGTGGTAGCGGATTGGCGGGTGAGGAACAGGGGAGCTCGGCGGAGCGATGCAGGGCGCGAGGCGCACGAGCGGGCGAGAATAACGGAAGCCAGCGGCTCACTCACCTGCGGGGCGCTGCCGCGGAAGCTGCTGGCGGAAAGCGGAAAGGCCTGCGACGCCTCGAAGTCGTCGTCGTTGCCCTTCCTTATCGTCACGCCCTCCGCCAGGTGCAGCGCGGGGGCTGGCGGAGCTTGAGAGCCGCACGGGCGGGGCGGATGGAGCGGCGGGCGGTAGGCGATGGGGACGTGGCGCGACTGGTCCTCGTCGTCGCCGCTGCGGATGACCACCGCCGCCCTCACCGACCCCCACCCGCCAATAGGGGGCGCCATCGTGTCCGCGCCGAAAGAAGGTCCCGAAAACCCCTGCTCCGGCGAGAAACTTTCCCCGAAAACGGACGGCGGTGGCCGCATGTGTGGTGGCGGCGCCATTTCTGGGGCGCCACTGAATGCGCCTCGGCTTCCTGGAAGCATCGCTTGATGCTCACTAGCGTGAGAGCGGTGCAGTCCGGTGGTGGAGTTAGGCGGGCGGCAGCGGTACGCGGTTTCGTAGGGGTCGGAGAAGCCGTCGACAGGCAGCGACGAGGGGCCGACGCTGAGACTCATGACTCGACCGCAACTTCCGGCCTCGTGCATTCGAAGAGTGGTGCTGCAAGAACTGCAAGCCAGCGCACCCCGTGTTCTGGTGGTGCTCGTCAGCTGAACGATGTGCTCTTGGTTTCCAAATGGATGTCACTTGTGCATGACTGCGGGGTTAGTGTAGTGGAAGAAACTATGGGTATGACGAGGGGTTTTCAGCTTAGCGGGGACATGTATCTGGAACCTTCCGCTTTCAGGGTAGGGAGAGTGCGAACTGTGCACAGTCTCCACAAAAGTCTGGGCTAGGGGGGGAGGGTTATTGTTCAGATTAGGGATTCGAGCTCTCAATGAGCCACGTGGTTAGTCCTACACAGCTCTCTCACTGTATATCTACAATCTCAGATTCTGCACTGCGCTTGTTTGTCTTTTCTACCGAATCCAGGCTAGCTCGTCAGCTCACTGTTCCCAAAGCTGTGTGGCCGTTGTTGTTTTTTTTTTCTCGTCCAAATTACATTGCACCCGAAACCCTGAGAATATGTGCACCCTTACTGACCGAAACAAAATAAACCCAATCGAGAAGGGGTGTGACTCGGGAGGCATCAACCCTAACAAGAAAGAGGGGTCCCGTGTTTAGGGTTGATTCCTCCCTAAAATGCGTCCGAGGGAGGCATCAGCCCTAAACACCATGCCACAAGGTGTTTAGGGTTGATGCCTCCCTGACCGGATGCCTTCCCGACTGGGGTTTATTTTTTTGCTCGCGTGTCCGTTGGGGTATTTCGAGTGTAATATATTGAGTAGAAACGACAAACCAGAACAGTGGAGAGTATGTGATTGAACACCTGCAGTGAGCTCTCTGTGAGAACTGGGAAACGTGGCTCATTGAGAGCTCGAGTCCCTAATCTGAAAAGTAACTCTCCCCCCCTACCCCAGAATTTAGCGGAAACTGTGCGCAGAAAGCGCTACCCCTAACATGAAAGCGGAGGGGTCGGGATACCCCTCCCTGCTAAGCTGAAAACCCTATGACGAGAGTCAGAGGCTGGTAGGAAAGGTGGGTTTGTTGAGGGGCGTGGGAGGGAGCAGGAAGGGCCTGGCTGCATTGGGAAAAGGGGATTGGAGTGGAGGGGAAATTGGGGCGCATGGGATCTTTGCAGTACTGCTACAGTAGTGTTCTAGTACTGTACGCACAGTGCCATTCAATGCACTTTTTGCCACGTCATAAATGCGTCCACCACATTCCAGTCGACCTTGCAGCGCGTAGCGGGCACGAGGGAGGGAGTGAGAAGGTAACTGGAGTGTGCGGCAGGGATGTGAGGTTGCAAAGAGCGCAATGCAATTGGCTGAGAAGAGATGGCTGTTTATTGTTACTAAATTCGCGAATGATGAAGGCTAGCGAACGACTTTCGCGATCTGCAAATGGTGCAGACAGCAGGTTGGATTGGATGCGACGAGAACAGCGCAGCAAACAACGGGCCGACAGTGGAGACAGCGGTGATTCGAAACAAATCAGGGCGCGTGTCTTTTTAAATTTAGGTCTTAGTTCATGTTTTTTTAGTCGAATTTTTGCAATTGAACACAGGTCGACCTGTAGTCGACTATCTCGTCATTTCATTGTCGAGTCGCGTGTTCACCTTGACGTGGAGCACATGGCACAAGAAATGCTCGACTTTCAAAGGTCGAGTTTGTACAGTAAAATCCGAGTCGCGCGAATTTTCCCAGGCTACCCTGTCTATACAGTGAAGTTCGTTAGCACTTTCAACTCGGGTAATCTGGCGCGACGTGGTTCGTAACCATCGCGAATCTCGCAGCTTCTTCGTGCGTGGGCAGAAGAACACACGATTGGAGAAACGTGCTCGGGGATAGTCGAATGCGAGGTCGACCCTAGTTCAGTGTCCTTCTGTTTCAGCAACTTTGAGCTTGGACACACGTTCGTCGTCAATAGCTCTGTACGAAGTTGGCGAAGCTGGTTACCAGCAAAAGTTGGACCTTTTTTTTCCAACTTCTACACCAAAAGACACGCGCCCTCAGCATCGAGAGAATGGGACAGCTCACTGGCGACGCGACTTTCTGTTTTGTTCACCGCACGGGCAGTACTGTCGCTACACCTGATTGGGATTTCATTACAGAACAATGGGATAAAGAATAATTGTTTTACTGCACATAGAAACAGCCGCAATCATACATTTTTCTCTGAATCATCGGTTATCGAGTACAGAGACCAGCCTTCACCTCCCTCCATGCCGTCTCCCTTCCAATTTTGTTCAAATGCCGCCCTCTCACAGATAAATGCGACCCGTCTATTGCGCAGACCAACCTAAAGGCCTTGCGTCCATAGATTCTCTCCGCTTCGTACGCCTCGCCCGCCGCGTCTCTCCTCGCGGGGGTCCACTCCGCGCCTCCACGCCATGGGCCCTCCTCGCCTCCACTGCGCTGCCGTCGCCTTCATTGCCGCCTGCTGCTACGTCTGCTTCTCCCCCGCTGCTGCGCAAGCAGGCGCATCTAGCGGCGGTGAAACCGGCGCGGGACATGGGGAGCAAGGCCTGGCGTGGCACGAGGTGAGGCTCAAGTCAAGCGCTGCTCTGATGCTTCCAGTGGGTAACCGTGACGTGGAACTGGCTTGTCCAGCATCAGCGGAGCGCCGTCGCGCATCGCTCTCGCCCTGCACGCCGCGCCAGCTCCCATACCGTCGCGTCTCCGCCGTCTCCTCCTCTTTTCCCCCCTGCCTCTGCCACACCCCTCCCCATTCTCTTCCTCCACTGCCCTGTTCGCCCCATCTTCCCCCGTTTTTCCCACTCCCCGCCCCGCTATCTTTCCCCTCTCCTCCCATCCATCCCGCGAGCAGGCGTGGGAGGCGGCGTACGAGTTGACGCCGGGTTCCTTCCTGCCGCCCCTCTCCGTCGCCCTGCCGCCCGGCGTGCCGCCCGCGCCGCACCTGGAGGACTGCACGGCGGGCACGGCGGCCAGGGCGCGCGCAGAGGCGCGGGGGGAGGGGGTGAGGCACCCCCCTGGACCGCGCCCTCCCAGTGCTGCGGTTGCTCCCCCCAACCGCCCTGGGTAGGTGGGGTGTGAGTGGTGGTGCGGTGCAATGGGGTGGAGTGAGGTGCGATGTGTGAAGGCATGGTGTCTGATCCATGGCTACCCGGCCACTCCGCCGCCTCTCCATCTCTTTGCCTCGCCAGAGCGCGTCCTCCTACTTGCCTTTGCGCCATGTCTCGTATGAATTCTGTCTTCCAATTTCCGATATGTGCCATGTGCCATGTGCCGTGTGCCGTGTGCCATGTGCTGCGTGCTGCGATCTGTGGGCTGTGAAGGTACGAGGTGACGACGCGTCCAATCTCCCGCTGACACGTGTCGCTCAAACGCACATCTGGCAGCACCAGTTCCCCCCTTCATGCGACCACCGCCGCCTGCTGCTTGCTGACTGGCTTCATCTGAATGCTGACGTGGCAGCAGGCAGGGCAGGGGAGGCGGACGGGGGAGGCGGCATGGGGGACATGGAGGGGCTGGCAAGGGAGGTGCATGTGGTGGGGGGCCTGCTGGCGCTGGCAGTGCTGCTCAACCGCACGCTTGTTGTCACACCGGGCTCCTTCCCCCATGCCAACTACTCCGCTTGCTCCGGTGCGCCACACCATTGCCATGCCATGTCTTGCCATGCCATGGATCGAACTCTCCTTCATGCACTTATTTCATCCGCCCATCCTCTCTCCACGCAGCCCCCGCAACCCCATCCCCTCCCCTACCACCCACCCGCCTGTCTCCCCTTTCACCCTCCACAGCCACACCAGAGTCGCTGGCCTGTTTCTTCGCCCCCCTCGCTGGGCCTCTCTGCGAGCAGGCAGCAGCACACGCCATGGCCGCCCACCCGCCCGTGCGCGCCCTCGCATGCGCCTCCAGTCCCGCCGCCAAAGAGGCCGCTCAGGGCGCCTCCCAGGGATTGGATGAGCTGGAAGCCCTGCTGACGTCAGCAGATCCGGTGGTGCGTGTCTGCACTGGGGCGTTGAGCCGGCACCAACTGCTGCTGCTGGCCAACGAATCACGCGTCGCCACGTAAGCATGTGCTGGTCCCGAGTGGTGCCACTCCGTTGCGGTGTCGGCTTGTTGCACCCAGCCATTATTGGTTGTGTTCTCTTGAGCACTGCACTGCGCTGCACACGGCTCACATTCCACTTGCCCATGCCACATCTCTCCCATCTCCGACACTCCATTCCTCTCGCCCTGCCTCTGCCTCGGTCCCCTGTGTGCTGCGGGGGTGCCAGGCAGTGGGGTGCAGCTGTGAGTGCGGCATCCCAGTCGGTGGAGGTAGCAGGGGTGGTGCCGCCACACGACAAACACAGGGAGCAGGTAGGCCATGGCCGTGCGTGCACCCATCAAGGCTTACATGCTGTCAGCTCTCGCATTGCTCTCAATCAAGAGGTATGGATCAACCCCCTCATTCCCTCATCCCTTTCCCGCCCATTCCGGTTATCCTCCCTTCAGTTGCACTGGTGGCGATCCCAGGCCGTCCGATTCCTCTTCCGCTGGCCATCTGCCCACCTCTGCCACGTCACCAACCTAATCCGCCACATCAGCTACGGCCGTTACATTGCTGCTCAGATGCACTCTGCCGCCCAGCAGCAGGCTGCCATCATCCGCTCTCTCTCTGCTGGCCCGTCCGAGGCCGACAAGAGTGTTGGAATCGATACGGCTGCCGAAGCCAAATTCCTAGCCTCGGTAGACATCAGGGCCGGGCCAAGCCTGGAGGGTCGGTTGTGGCCAGCATTAGGGTTTGAAGGATGTGTGAAGGTGAAGGAGGGAACGTGGGGAGGGAGTGTGATTATAGACGAGGTGAATGAGGGAGTGGGGAGGGAGGCGTACATCATGCGGCCAATAGTGAGTGTGCATGTGAGTGTGGGCACAGGTGGGGCAGCCGCAGGAGCAGCAGGGGAGGCGGTGGCTGCAGCAGGCAGCAGTGGCGGTGCAACCACCAACACTACGCTGCCAGCAGCATCACCCCAGCGACCAGACATCCCCGCGCTCATGTTCTTGGCCCATCGTCTGAGGCGCTATGTGCCACACTTGCGCCACGTGTGGTTGACGGCCTCTGTGCCTGTATGTGCCCACTCTCCTCCCTGATGTTCTGTTATTGCCTGCATGCTGTCCCATGTGACATGTGGGGCCACCCTTAGTCCACGCATTGTCCACTGTTCATGCTTCCTGACATGCAACACACTTATCTATCTTGCGTTTCCGTGTGCAGGATGTGAGCAATGAGCTCTCGGAACACCGTGACTGGACGTTCCACAGTGCTGGAGGGAGTATGGATGCACATGATGGGCAATCATGGCCTTCTGGTTTGGAAGGCAGCCTGGGCACTGCAATGGGTGCCACAGCTAGTATGCTATCTCAGCTCCTCATTGCCTCTGAAAGTGATTATTTTGTTGGTGCTCTTAGCTCTTCCAGTGCGAAGTTGCTGAACGAGTTTAGATGCACTAATGGGAGGCTGCTGTCTGGATTCATTTCCCTGGACCAATAAAGGGTCTTGACACTGCACTAGGGAAATTTCTAGACAGTGCAGATAGAAGGCATCCATGCTTTGTAGCTCCTAAACAGATGACGCAGGTCACGTACTAGTAGCCAATAGCCAAAATTGATACTACAGTCAATGCAGGGCATGATTCTGAACAGTTGGATGTTGAGCATCTGAACTTGCGCCAAGCAGCAGCAAACACCCGAGAACACACTCAGCATGCGCTGCTGGACGGCTCAAGTTATTCAACAGGAGCAGCGGCTGCTGGAAGCAGAGATTGGGAACAGAAGGGAAAGGAGGGGGAAAAAGGGTCAGCACAAGGTTCCGGAATTGAACAATGAAGACATGAGTGATTGGGGGCAGCACATACCGAAGACATCATGAGCCACTGGGTGGGCGGTTGCCTCATCTGCTTGAGGCGTCACACCTGGAGGGGCCTCATCCTCCTCCATGGGGTACTCTGCAGGGGGCATCTGGTAATGCTCTGGAGGCGCATACCCCTCGGCATGCATGAGGTACGGGTCTGGCTGCTGCTGGTAGTATTGCTGCTCAAGCTGCTGCTGCTGCTGGTAATGAGCAGCATACATAGCCCTTCTCTCAGCCTCCTCTGCTGCCATCTGCTGCTGGAACAACTGGTGCTGCAGCTGCTCCTCCTGCTGACGCTGATGAATCTGCTTCTGAATGTGCTCCATAAGCTCCTGTTGCCGTTGCTGTATCTGTTCCTGCTTCGCCTTCTCATTTTCCTGCTTTGCAGCACCCTGTGTGGCAACAGGATCCTTCTTGGAAGCTAGAGACGCATCCTCCTCCTCTGACTGCTCAATCTGCAGTTGCTGATCCTGCAGTTCCATTTTCTCGTCCGCCTTGACCTTTCCCTGCTTTGCCTTGTCAAGTAGTGGTATCTTTACAATGCTTGACTGAGCAGGAACCTGCACGACAAAAAAAAGGTTGAGATTACAAAGAAATATCACCAAAACCAGCAAAGAGGTAGACAAACTTACAGTGAGCTCCGGCTTGCGGGCAAGCGACTCCTTTTCCTCCCTAAGCCACTTCAGCTGGGAGGGAGCATCCTGGACCTTCCGTTCAGACGTCTTCAAGACCTTGTCACTATCAGCATTCCTACTCTGCTTCCCCTTTCCAGAGTCCTCGGCAAGCTTAGTCTGTTTCTCTGCGTCTTTTTCCTGCCCAGTTTGACGTTTCCCGCGCTTGTCATTTTCACGAAACTTCATGACAATACCCTTGCCAGATGCTTTAGCCTCTGCTGCATCAGCAACAGGCTGCTCCCCCCCCTCATCATCATCAGGAGCAGCCCTGGGTCTGGGTGGCTTGAAATCTTCATCCTCCTGATAAACACCTCGGTCACCTGGACCATTCATCTCCTCATCTTTGTGGTCCCTGTCCCTCATGCCTGATGCTCTGCCGCGCCCACTTCTCTGTTCCGAACCACGAAAGTCAGATCTGTTCTCAGCATGTCGACTGTCACGAGACTGTCTTCTCCTCATTGGAGGCTGCGACTCATGAGTGGGGTCTTCAAGACGTGTCCTTGCATACTCATCTGTGGATTACAAACACAAATATCAGCACGTGTATGTAATGCTGGCACAGAGAAGAGGCTTCTACCAATCGTACCTTGAGAAAGCCGCCTTGACGAGCTTGCTCTGCCAGAGGATTGATTTTCAACAGCAGAAGGCCTTGTGTAAGGCATTAAATGGTTACCAGCCACATCCGGACCAGGTAATTCCAGATCAGAATTTCCTACATGTGGAGTTGGCACGAAGCTCATGTCCCCAGATGCGTCATGATTGAGAGGAAAAGCAGTGCCAGTTGCATTTGCAACAGGTGCAGCATCCAGAGCCATGGGAATCTCTGCAAGATTCGCTAAAGCCGAAACAGCAGGTGTCAAGTCATCTGGAGTCAACTCTTCCAAAAACATGTTGAGCTGAATCTTGGACCTGCAGAGAAACAGTTTCAGCAATGCTCAGAATAAAAAAACGAAATCCCCTTTGTGCAAAAAATCATACTGCTCTACCTTTTCACATCGTCCTCTGCTGCCATGACACACTGCTGTGCTTCGACAAGCGTCTTCAAGTTAACAGATATCCTGCATCAATCCAACGAGTTCAAATGAACAAACGATGGCTACACCAGGCCACATACTTGGTCGTACAAAACCATATTCACAACAATTACTCGGCAATAAGGCCTTCCTTCTCTTGGACATCCCTCTCCAGCAGCTTCGCATGCTCCAACAAATCCTTTGCCAGTTCTGTCTTGCGTCCAAGGAGGGTCTGCCGATAAACAAGAAACAGACTAGTTAACATGCTATCCCCTATATAAACACTAAAAGCCCATCAAACGTCTATTCCAAACCTGGAGGGTGTCGCAGTGCTCCCTCTGTATGGTCACGTCCTTCAGAAGCATCTTTCTCTGCAAAATTTCAAACTGTAACCATTTAGCCCAAATGCACCACGAGGTTAAACTGTTAAAGGCGAATGCCTTTTTCCATGTACCTCACGCTCAAGTTCCATCCTTTCAGCAGAGACAACCCTGCTGCCAGAACCAGGTCCAGCAGCTCGATAGTCCACTCCGCGTTCTCGTTTCCTCTCACCATGATGCCTTTCACTAAGATGGAAAGTGTCAACAGGGAACAAAAGCAACTTAGTGAAGAGGACTCACAGATCCAAAAAAGCATTATGTGCATAATCAGGACCTGACATGTCCATTCAATTAGCAGCACAATGTCCATGCAATTAGAAGCACCTGGTCTCAGAAGGCGACCTTGAGCGTGAGTCATATGAACGATCAGAATAGTCGTCTCTTGAAGGTGACGGAGAAATGCTGTGGCCTGGAGAGGCAGGAAGTCAAGGAAATTAGCACCACAAGAAAGACAGAGACATCCAGCACCATGACCGACTTGTCAAAGACACGTAACGCACTCACCCCGCTTCCTAGGAGGAGAAGGCCTCCGTCCACGGCGTCTGCCATCTTCAGGCGGAGAACGGTAACGCATGCGATCGCGAAGATCCCCTCCTCTGTACCCCGAGTACTTTCCTGAAACGCCTTATGAAGATGACAGAAACAGGAACATCGAGTAAAACCACATGATGAAGGACTCGCCTGTTTTTCGTGAACAACTGACAGAAACGCAGGGCAACTCACTTTAACACCGGCGTCAGGACGGTTCTGTCTGAAAACGGATGGAGGTGGAAAGGTAATCAAACGACCTTGCTCAACACTTCACAAGACATGCATCTTCGTCAACTAGGGTTTGAGAAGACAGAATCCTCCGGTGCCGTTTTCATGGTGTCACGTAAGTTGCCAATAACTGAACTTCGGATGAAGCCAATATTAAGTGAAGCGTGGAGGATCGCTTACACAAGGACAAACAGAGACAGCTCTCAGGCCCGATGAACCGGCTTCGTGGAAAGCAAATTAACAGATGTCTCGCACAGATGAACGGCACCAGTAGACACTCACCAGTTGCTCCAGGGGGAGCTTTACGAAGTTCCTCTTCTCCATGCGCGAATGTGCAGTTAGGTCTGTCGCACTTTCCCCTTTCATGGAGCACGCAGAGTTTAGTCTTGTATAAATCGCGCGACGCCATGATTGAATCGGGACAGCGTGAATGACAAAGGCTCGCCCTGTGAATAAGTCTGCAAGAAAATGGAGAACTTGGGCTTGTTAGTCGTGATGAAGGCGACGAACGTTGTGATGGAGAAGGAATCTCGAGGGGAATGAGCGAATCTCGAGAGAGAAGCCACGAAGGGAATGTAGGTTCAGAGAAATATGGATTCCTGCGCAGTCATTTCACTTGAACCCTCTAGGGAACGCCGTTGGCAATGTACCGTACACCATTTTGCTAGCCATCAACCCTAGTATAAAGGACCTTTGTTGGTACGAGAATTTGTAAATTTGTTCATAGAATAATTGACTCACCATGCAGACAATGAAATTGTTATCTTTGTTGCAACCAATGATTGGACAAGTCAGCTGGCAAATGGTTGCACGCATTCTACCTATGCTTCTAACGGGTGAATTGTGTCAATGATGCACCCCGGTGGCAGTGCACTCAACCCGCACATTGCACACAAGCAGCATGCAAGGATGGATGCGGTGCAGGTGTGTGGATGTTTAAATATAAGGCACGTGCAGCTCAGAGATGCGTTTTGAGGGAGCACAGTGGTGCAGAGTGCAGCACAGCAAGGCCGGGACCTTGGAAAAGGCATCTCCCACCAGCTGCAAAAATAGAGAGGGCATTGCAGCTGGGAAAAGGTTGGGCACTGGGGCAGGCTGTGCATGGGATGGGAGTGTGTGCCTCGTGCGGCAGAGGGGGATATTCTGTAGAAGCAGAAAGAGGGTGGGGGCAGTGGCGGAGCAAGATGGTGTGGAGAGATGCTGGGTCGGGGAGGAGCGGGATGAGCTGAGGGAAGCAGAGGGCAGCGGAGTAGAGAAGGGAATGGAAATGAGCAGCGGTACAGTGGGTTGACAGGCAACAGTGGACAGGTGGGCAAAAAGAAGGGGGGCTTCACTGTATGTAGAGGGAGTGAGAGGCGAGGGTGCAGCCGAGAGGGGATGAGATCAGCGCATGTTGTGGGAGGAGATGAGCGTTTTGAGGACGTTGTTGGGGGTGAGGCAGGTGTGCGGCAGGGGCTGCCCCGTGGAGGGCGAGAGTTGTGCAGGACGCCATCCAGCGAGTGATGTGCTCGCGCTCGTATGTGAACCCGTCCCCCGCCACCACCGGGTCCCTCATCACCTCCTGCCATCGTGGCCGTGGTCGTGGTGTGTGTAGGGCAGAGCAAGGCAGGGTGCGCATTGAGAGTGTGCACACGGTGGTGGCATTTGCATGCACAACACGGAGGAGGGAAAGGGTGATGATAAATGTCACGACAGCATGTGAGAGTGAAACCAGTGCGTGTGTGAGTGTGCAACAAAGGGTGGGTTTTCTGAGAGCACACGAGACACGGCATACCTTGGAGAGGGGGCAGATGAACTGCAAGTCGCTGTGCTTCTTGCGTGCCTTGACCTCCTCCTCCGCTGCCGCAGCGATCCGCACCAGCGCCGGCTGCACCTCTTTCTTGAGGCTCGGCCGGTTCTCGCGCCGCCGGTCTGCACAGCGCAGCGCCAGCCCCGCGGCCTCCTCCGCCAGGTCCATGCGCCACTCGCCGCCCGTGCTCTCCAGGTACTTGCTCACCACGCCCACCGCCCCCACTGCTGCCCCCCCCGGCCCCGGCTGGCTGCCTTGGGCTGTCTTGGCGTGCTTGGCGCACTCCGCCAGCATGCGGTGCACGGCCTTGACGGCGCGCTGCCCCGTCAGCAGCTGCAGCATGATGAGCCCCAGCGCGTACACGTCAGACAGCACGCTGATCTCACACGTCTCCACCTCCTCGGGGTCGATGTACCCCAGCGTGCCGCGCACCTTCATGGTGGTGGAGCCGTCCGCCTCCAGCAGCCGCGCCAGCCCCACGTCGCCAATCTTGCTCGCCAGGTTGCCGTCCAGCAGGATGTTGTCGGGCTTTAAGTCACGGTGCACGATGGGCGGGTCGTTGCGGTGGAGGTACATCAGAGCCGTCGCCATCTCCCCACATATGCGCAGCCGGTCCGACCAGCTCAGCCGCACCGCGTCCGCCGTCTTGGGCGGGCCCAGCTTGTCCTGTAGCGTGCCGCCCGGGAGGAACTCGTAGACGAGCGCCATTTCCTCGGTGCAGCAGCCCATGAGCAGCACGATGTGGGGGTGGCGCATGCGGCTCAGCACCTCCACCTCCACGCGGAACTCGTCGGGCCCCTGCCACCCCTGCCCCTCCAGCCGCTTCACCGCCACCTGGCACCCCAGCATCTCCCCGCGAAACACCGCCCCGAACGACCCCTTTCCCAGGAGATTCTCCTGCGCGTAGTTCTTGGTGGCGCGCGCGAGCTGCTGCGCCGTGAACTGGCGGCAGTCAAAGCCGTCGCCCACTGCTGAGCTGCTGCCGGGGGTGAGCTGGCCGGAGGAGAAGGCGGAGCGGCCGAAGGAGGAGGCGGCGGGCTGCGAGGCCGTGGGGCCCTGCGAGTACGCCGCCAGGGACGTGTTGGACGGCGCCGACAGGTGGTGGAAAGCGCGACGCGCGTGACGACGACGACGACGACGACGTGGGCGCGGGCCTGGACAGGAGCCCCCCGGTGCCGCTGCTGTCCCCCGCTCCCACGCTGCCACCGCCACTCATCGCCCCCACGCCACCTCCCGCCACGCCCTCTATGCTGCCCTGCATGCTGCCCTGGCGGCTGCCCTGCCTGCTGCCGCCCGCACTGCTACCTCCCGGGCTGAGCGCGCTGCCCCTGAAGCTGCTGCTGCCCGCCAGCGGGCTGCATGGCGCTGGCGACAGTGCTGGCCCCGGCTGGTGGAGGGCCATTGGGGTACACATGGCGCCATGCACAAGGGGGGAGGGACGGAGAGGGTGGGAGACTGGAGCAGTGAGAGAGAGAAGGGGTGTGTGTGAGGGAGAAATAGAAAGTGAAAAGGTTCAAAATGGGGAAAGCGAAGGGGGATGCAAAAAAAGGGTCCCCCCCCCATCTCGCTCACACCCGCCCCTGCATGCCTGTCCGCCATCCGCCCACCTGCCCACGTGCTTAACCCTTTGCACGCCCCCCCACCTCACCTCTCTGCCGTCGCCCGCCCCTGCGCTGCTGTCGCCCGCAGCACTGCCGTCCACCTCGCGGTTGCTGCTCACGCCCTTGCCCACCCACGCCGCTTCCTTCCCCCTCCCCCCCCCCTCCTCTCCCCCCCTCGCCCCCCTCATCCTCCGCCTCCAGCATCGCCAGCTCGTCCGCCAGCAGCGATCGCCCCCCTCCCCCTCCGCCTCCCCCTTCCCATTCCCCTTCCTCCTCCCCTCCCCCATCCCAGTCCCCTCTCCCCGCCGCCCCGCCCCCCTCGCCCTCCTCCGGAATCCCCTCTGGCAACACCACTCGCTCCGCACTTCGCTTCCGCACTGCATGCCCGGCCCCCCATTGCCCCTCCTCGCCCCCTGCCCCCATCGCCATCCCCCCGGGCGTGGCGGAGGGCGAGCACGACGCGCTGAGGCTCGGCCCCATGCCCGCCCCGCGCCCCGCCCCCCTCAGCGCCGCTTCCCCCCAACCCCCGTCCCTGGCGGGCATTCCGGCCGCAGCAGCGCCGGGGGAACGATGGCGTGCCGCGGAGGACATGGGCTGCGCGCCGCTGGCCTGCGGGTGTGTGGGGGTTAGAGGGGGGAAGAAGAGGGTAGGGAAGGTGTGGGGAACCGAGGGGAAGGGAGGGAAGAGGGGATAGGGAAGGAGGGGGAGAAGGGTGAGTGAACGCGGCGAAAGCGGGGTGGCACGCGCGCAGCAAGGAGCGAGAGACAACGCCCCAGCGGGCCAGCACAGGTGCCGTTGCACTCGTAACACGCCCCCTAGCCCGGCCACACTCGCCGCACCTCGGATTCGCGCACCGCCATCTGCTGCAGCTCCTCCAGCGTCGAAAACGATAAGCGCGATTGCTTCCCCCTTTCCCCTCCCCCCCCCGCGCGCCTCTGCTCCGCCCCTTTCCCCCGGTCCATCATTTGTCCCCATGGATCCCTCTCCGCCGCCTCTCCGCCAGCCGCTGCTGCAGGAGGGGCGGGCGCGGGCGCTGCGAGGGGGAGAGAGCGGGAGTGCGGGCCGGAGGAGGAGGACGAGATGGAGAACTCGGACGACGGCGCGCCGCTGCTGCCCAGGGGGGACGCGGACGCCTCCAGCGGCGGGGGGTCGGAGGGGCGGCGCACGTGCAGGGGGGAGGCGAACGCAGGGGGTTTAAGCGCAGAGGGGGTGGCGGGGGGAGTGCGGGGGGCGCGAGGCGGGCGGCGAGGGCGTCGTTGGAGGAGGGCGCGGAGTGGAACTGCAGGAAGACGGACGGCAGCGCGGAGAGGTCGGTGCGCTGCGCGCCGATGAGCTGCTGGTGCTTGTGGCCGCGGCCGCCCTGCGACACGACGAGCGTGCACGCGCGCGGCAGCGACGTCTGACACGCCGCCACCACGCCCGACGATGACCACCCCAGCAGCTTCCTGCTACGCGGGGGCAGTGGACGGAAGGGAGAAAGGGGAAGGGGAGAATGACGGAAAAGGGAGAGAATGTGCGGAGGGAGGAGGAGCGGGGGGGGGAGCGGAGAGGCGCTGCAGGTGGTGGTGGGGCCCGCTCCCGCGGGCGATCCAACAGAGCACAACTGATCGAACCAGATGAGCCCACTAAATCCCGCCAGCCCCGCAACGCCCTGGAGATCGGCCATCCCGCACCTTTTGACGCCTATGTAGACGCGCTCCGCGTTGGCTCGGCGCGCAGCGAGGCACAGCCCTATCTCGCGGCGGTCGTTGAGCTCGACCGCCGTGCCGCACGCCACCTGCCATGCACCGCGGACGGCGCGCGCAGGCAAGAAAAGGCGGCGGAGACGAGGAAGGGAACGCGCGGAAAGGAGGGCGTGGAAGAGAAAGAGCCAGGGGAGGGGGACGAGCGTAAGGGAGGCACAGTCTTAGAACGAGCGGCAGAGGAGGAGGACAAATCTGAGGTTACGGGACAGCAGGCGAATGAGCATGGCGATCACAGTCAGTTGCGGAGGCGAGTGACCCGATGCATGAGCGGTGGAGCTGGGGGCGTGAGCGAGGTCTCACCCGGCTGGCGGTGGCGGTGGCGAGCAGCGGCTTCATGAGGATATCGACGAGCTTCTTGGCGTGCTGCAGCGCCGTCTTTGGATCCACCTCGCTCGCCGGCAGCGTCATGTTGCCTGCGCCGCACGCACGGGCCACGTGCCACGATCAGAACACCGTCGCGATTGCGATTGCGAATGCGAATGCGAGAGCAGGGGAAATAAAGCGGCAAGCAGAAGCAGCTTGAGCATTGCATGCACAACGCGCGTGCCCACACGCGATGCGCGAGAGGCCTATAAATTGGAGAATGCGGGGTCTGGGAGTGCGTTAGGAAGAAGCAGGAAGCGGCAATACGCACGCGAGGTGGGCACTTCCGACATGACGTGCACGAGGAGGAGCGTCACGGCGCGCCCTGCCATGTGCTCCAACGCCAGCTCCAACGCCTCCTGACTCAAGTCGCGGTGCCGCGTCACCTCCACGATCCACGTCGGCACAGACGCTGGCGGCGACCCCGTCATTGCCGCCAACATACGAGCCGGCAGGAAAACCTTATTCTGTTCAACACACTCTAAATATTTAACCCTAGAAACGTGTCGCACACGGCGACTCGCGTGAGATCACGAGCCGTGACGGGTAGGATTAAGGCAATCGAAGAGGCGAAGAACAACTCAAGGGCAGCCAGCAGCTGGCAAAACACAACTCAACATTCCACTGGAGCTCGCCGTTCCTTCCCAAGGCCTCAGCATCCCGTTCCTCTGCCAGCCCACGAACAACCCTCACCAGCTTCTCACGCAAAACCCTACCGCTTGCTCCTACGACAGTTTTCGCAAGCACTCGCAAGTTCATTTACTTCGCCAACTGTCGCAATCCGCCATAGAATCTCCAGCTAAAGCCTTAGCTTTCAACAAGACTGGAAATTATTAGATCCGCCCAGCCAGCGTGGTGTGAGTTTAGTGCTAGCAGAGGCGGTGGAGCAACAGAGAAGAGGGGGGAGCTGGATTGTGGTCGGGTCGGGACTCGGGGGGGATGAGAGGTGGAGGCTGGCTGTGCTGGTTGGCTGTCTGTCGGGCTGCCATGATGGTGCCTCGCTCAATAGTTGCACTATGCTTGTTTCCCTCTGGGGAATATGGGCAGCAATGGCGAAGCAACTGCGTACAGAAGCAGACCGATTGTTCTCTTTCGCGGTCTAATGGGCTGAGGTCGTGTCCTTGGGGACGACATGTCAAGCTTGTGAGTGTCAACTTCTGGTTTTGACACTTGCCAACATTGTTGGCAGAGTGTCAACGACATGAAAACTGCCAGCCAGTAAATTTAGTCGGACATCCCGCTCTGCGAATCGTTTTCCTCCATCCAGCCAGCTTCACTGGTAGGATCGAGAATTCTTTCTACCCAATCAACGGATCGTGTACGACCGCAAGGTCTTGCAAGAAATCGCGTGTGCATGTAAAGCTTTGTAGGACTGCAAGGTCTTGCAACAAATTCGTGCCTAACCAATAAGGTTGCGCCGCAGGATTTTGTGCTGCGCTTTGTTTTGACACTGAAGCCACAGTGCTTGACACTCCAAATTCCGCGCGCTTCGTGTTGACACTGCCATGTCGACATGTCGCCACGGACACGAACTGAGGATGGTGGGAATGTACAATTTACTAAAAGCATTTGAAAGCATTGAAGCTTGTTCTGTAATAAGAAGGTTATGAGACCTTTTCCGACATTTTTAGATTCCACCCTCTGTTCCACAATTCCACTGTACAGAACTCCATGCACAGAACCGCACATTCAGTGCCTGCAGTATCCAGTGCAAATCCGATCAGGACACTGTAGGGGCGTTGCCTAGGACCTGGTGTCGTGTCGTCGTGGTGTGGTGTGATGGCTTTCTCCCCTCCATTCCATTTTTTCTCGAATCATCCCCCACCCCAACCACGACACGACACAGCTCCTTCTCCATCCTCAACTGGTTACAGATATTTTCTTCGACATTAGAAAGCTAGGGAAAGCTGGGTACACGAGGGTGCGCTAATTACAGTAACTAGTAAAGATACTTTCTAAAAGACTCCCATACAAATGAAGGTTAAGACTTGAACCTGAACTATACATTGGGGTTGGGATGGCATGCCAACCAACAGTGCACCTTTCCATAACCTGCTCCGTCATTAGTTTAATACACCATGTTGTCATAAGAAGTTTGATTGTGCCTAGGATCACCTCAGGAAGGTTCGCAAAGAATGTATTGCAGCGGAAGATTGACCTCAGGTCAGAGTGTATTTAAAATTACTTAGATTATAATAGCATGCAAATGCATTTATATAAATAAGAGTACAGTGGAATACGAAACGACCTAAACTAGCCATGTACTCACAAAATCCAACAGTGCGACTCCAGACGGTTACGAACTGTCCAAGGAAAACTGGGCTCCGCCCTCGAAGCACGAGCCCCATGCCCGATGTACTGCACAAGTAGCGTAGTACCCTCTTAGCAGCATCCATGAGCACCTTTCGGTGCCTACCAGGAGCCACGTAGCGAGCCAAAAGGCCAAGAGGGTACGCAAGGTCAGGTCGAGTGCAGGTCATCAGGTACATGAGGCAGCCCACTAGCTCTAGGTACGGGCCACTCGGCTTTACGGACTCATCCGAAGGCAGAGCTGAGAGCGAATGGCCTGTAGCCAAAGGACTGTGCTGTGGCGAGGACCAGGTGAATCCGAAGCGCTGAAGGACCTGCTGCACCATGTGTGACTGAGTCAGTGTGATGGTGCGGCGTGCTCTGTCCGGGTGATCTGCAAGCCAAGGTAGCTGTGCAGCTCACCCAGGTCTGTGCACGTGTGTCTCTTCTGCAGCTCCGACTTCACCAGGGCGAGAGCCTCAGTGTTAGCAGTGGCAAAGACCAAGTCGTCGACGTACACGAGGATGTAGAACGGCGACAGGGAAGTGTCGGTGCGCAGAAACAGCGACGGGTCAGCAGTAGAAGGCGCGAACCCAAGAGCCGCAAGTGTAGTCCTCAGTGTGTCGTGCCACTTACGTGGCGCCTGGCGGAGACCGTAGACCGGCCACCGGAGGCTCCACTGGGCACCAGGAGGGAACGACCCAGTGAAGCCAGGAGGGCGGCGCAGCCAGATCTCCTCGTGCAGGCTGCCCTGTAAGAAATCTGTGCTGAAGTCAAGAGAGTGAAGCTTGTAGTCACGCTGAGCGGCAACGTGCAGCAGCACCCGAAGAGTGGTCATCTTTGGGGTGCGGGAGAAGGTCTGGAAGAAGTCTACTCCCTCTCGCTGACTGAAACCTCGAGCAACGTAACAAGCCTTGAAGACGGGCGGAGAACCTGGCGGCCGCTTCCCTGAAAATCCACATGCCACTGACGATGTTCGCCCCAGGAGGGGGAACCTCGTCGACACTGGTGCCTGTGGACTTCCAGGATGTCATCTCTGCATCCATCGCTGTCTGCCACTGAGAGGAGTACTCATCCGCGATCGCCTCAGCGTAAGAGCGCGGGGTCGGGATGTCTGGAGCATCCAGGTCTCCCTCAGGGGCAAGCATCATGGACACGAGATGAGGCGCACCAGCAGCAAGACACTCAAGGTCCTCCTACCTGTCCTCAAGGACGTCCCTGCCAAGAGCACACTCACCCTCGACGGACGGAGGACAGACAAAATCATACTCAGCAACAAGACTAGAGGCGTAGTCTAGACGACAGGCAGCAGCAAAGTCAACAAGCTCATTGACTAAGGCAGACGCAGCAGCAAACTCAAACGACGGGTCAGTGACAACTGTGGCTAGCAGACGCGTGACAATAGGGCGAGCAGCACGGGTGCGGTCAGACTCAGGCTCAGGAACGGTAGGCAGAGAAGACGCAGGAGGGGACGGCAGGGGAACACGTTGCGGAGGAGAGGAAGGACGACGGACTACGAGGTGGGTGCGGGGGACAGCCGGCTGACGCGAACGAGGAACACGAAGACCAGAACGACCAGAACGGACAGGCGAGACAGGACGTGACGCTGGCTCACGACGCTCAGTAAGACCCCCTGTCTGCTCAGTATAAGGAGAAGGAGCAGGCAGCGGTGAGCGAGGCTGTAACGGAAGACCAGTAGACGAAGGGAGACTAAGAACCTGACGAAGCACAGAGTCAGGCGGTGGCTGAGACGGCGGAGACGGTGGAGCAAAGAACAGGCGCGGCTGTGCAGTGCAACAACACCAGCAGCTCCAGCACCTCCAGCAGCTCCAGAACCCTTAGCGCCAGCTCCTCCAGGACCAGCTCCACCAGCAGCAGCACCCCCAGAACCGGCACCTCCAGTCCCAGGGTCTCCAGCCTCACTGTCTCCAGCAGCAGCACCCCCAGACCCACTGTCTCCAGTACTAGCACCCTCAGGCTCAGCACCTCTAGCCCCTGTAGCTCCAGTACGAGCACCTCCGGGACCAGCAGCACCACTCGCAGCTCCGGGGACGTCAGCAGAAGTACCTCCAACGGCAGAGCCCGAGCTCCAAAAGCGCGACCCTGACGGCGACCGTACCAGTTGTGCAGCTGCTGTGAGGTAAGAGACACACGCGGACGAAGGCGGCTACTCCAAGGAGACCGCACAACAAAAGACTCAGAACCCTCAGCACCTCCAGAACCTCCAACAGCTCTAGAACCTCCAGCGTCATCACCCTCAGCAGCTCCAGAACTTCTAGCTCCAGCGCCACCAGCGCCAGCACCTCCAGCAGCTCCAGAACCTCCAGCGCCAGCACCCTCAGTAGCTCCAGAACCTCCAGCAGAAACAACTCCAGTAGCAGAGTCACCAGCTCCAGCGCCTCCCGCAGCAGGGCCCCTTAGCTCCAGCAACGCGACCTTGACGGCCAACGTACCACTCACGCACGCTGCTGAGGGAGAGGGAGTCGACGACGAGAGTGCAGCGGTGAGGCACCAGTGGAGCGACTACGGAGACGGCCGCTCTAGGGAGACTGCTCACCAGACGCCTCAGCGCCCCCAGGTGCAGCACCCCAGACTCAGTACCCCCAGGCTCAGCACCCCCAAGACTCCTCACACTCAGGCTCAGTACCTCCAGGCTCCGCACCCTTAGGCTCCGCACCCCAGGCTCAGCACCCCCAGGCTCCGCACCCCCAGGCTCAGCACCCCCAGAAGCAGCACCCCGAGCAGGACCACTCGCAACAGGACTTGAGTCACCAGTAACCTCAACCGGTGCAGTCAAGGGAGGAGGGTCTACCTGAGACACACCTGAAGGAGCAGGACCGAGAGCGGGGAGGGGGTCTACCTGGGGAGCACCTGGAGCGAGGAAGAACGGCGGGAGGGGAAGAGGGGCAGTGCGGTAGGGGAAGAGACGGTAAAAGGGGACCGACTCGTCGAACGTGACGTCCCGAGAGAGGAAGACACGGCGCGAGGTGTGGTGGTAAAACTGCCAACCAGGCGCGTCAGGGACAAAGCCCAGGAAGACACAGGGAACAGGGCGGGCGGAGAGTTTGTCCGCGGACAAAGGTACGAGCACCCCAGACCCGGAAACGCGACGCATCGCCAACCTTCCCCGTCCACAGCAGTG